TTTGCTCTGACATGCACTGTGAGCTGTAAGGTCTTATATAGACAGGTGTGTGGCTTTCCTAATCAAGTCCAATCAGTATAATCAAACACAGCTGGACTCAAATGAAGGTGTAGAACCATCTCAAGGATGATCAGAAGAAATGCACAGCACCTGAGTTAAATATACGAGTGTCACAGCAAAGGGTCTGAATAATTAGGACCATGTGATATTTCAATTTTTCTTTTTTAATAAATCTGCAAAAACGTCAACAAACAATTCTGTGTTTTTCTGTCAATATGGGGTGCTGTGTGTACATTAATGAGGAAAAAAAATTAACTTAAATGATTTTAGCAAATGGCTGCAATATAAGAAAGAGTGAAAAATTTAAGGGGGTCTGAATACTTTCCGTACCCACTGTATATATACTGTGTGTATATATATATATATATGTATATATATACACACAGTATATACGATTAATTGCGATTAATCGCATCCAAAATAAAAGTTTTGTTTGCATAATATGTGTGTACTGTGTATATTTATTATGTATATATAAATACAAACACATGCATGTATATATTTAATAAAAATGTTATGTTTACATATTAAATATATTTATATACAATATAAAATCTAATAATATAAATATATAAATGTATATACATGTAAATATTTTCAAAATATAAACTGTATATATGTGTATTTATATATACATAATAAACACAGTACATTACACAGTAAACAAAAACTATTAATCATTTGACAGCACTTATATAGTGTATATATATATATATATACACACACATATATACATATATATATTCATTCAAGCATGCAACTTGCATTTTCAAGAATTTAATGTTTTTTTTCTCACTTCATTTTTAATTTTGACTTTAGGCCACCCAAAAAAAATCCAAATGAATTTTAGACATTTTAAAATGCTCATTATAGAAAATGTGTATTGAAGTAAGTGTATTAATGAACTGCATTTTCATTTTTTTATATAAAAATTATTATTTTGAAGCTGACCGCACTTCACCTTAAAATCACTGGGTTCGTATTACTAACAAAGTATTACATTATAACATTCATCCAGTTATACAATTATTGTGTTATGTAAAGTTTCTTTCATCAGTATTCATATGATTTTAATAATCTGCTGTTGTACAATAGTTGGTTTTCATTTACACTGAGAACAGATGTAGATTTGAAAGATATGTTTTATCTGTTCTCTATCAACATATACAGACTTGTCATAACTTCAGAGTGGGAGTTATGAAATATTTGCAGTTAGTAATTGGCGAAAGTTGTTTAACTTGCAAAAGGCTCTAATAACAAAACATTCTGTTCATTTGGAGGTTCAACTCATTGTGCTCACGATGAATGGCAAAGATTCGTCTTCCTTGTATAGGCTCGCCCACGACTCAAAGCGCTTGTTTATACTAGAGGCTCAAATTTACGTTCCTTCAATGGGAAGAAAGCCTCTTCCCGCAGTTAGGTTGCACAGTTGCCAGATCTGTCTGGAATCCGCACAAGATAAACTCACCACAGAAATCTGCAGGTCTCCAAAAAAGTTTGATTCTTATCGTTGATGCCCTGGAGCTAATTAGTTTTAATGTCTTCCGGTGTCACGCAGGTGCAAACCTCACACATACAATTACTAGTATGTGGCCTGGGTAAAGTTAAATAGCATTTTCTATTACAAAAGCATTATTTTTGTTCTTACACATGGTCATCTGTCCGATTTCAAACAGTCCAGTTTTGAAATGTTCATCTACAGGCACACTTGTGCCGGAGTATCATTTGTCCTCCTTTTAGGATCACTATTTTATACTTCTATATATATACATATATATATATATATATATATATATATATATATATATATATATATAATATATATATCACACTTGTGCCGGAGTATCATTTGTCCTCCTTTTAGGATCACTATTTTATACTTCTATATATATACATATATATATATATATATATATATATATATATAATATATATATCCAATGGTATACAGTTAAAAAAAGTCAAGTTAATATTAAGTGATGTACATTTCAGATAATATTGTCTTGGCTGTATTCCACCAGTCACTGTGATTGTTTCATTCCCGTTTCATTCATTTTTGAGTGAATCGGGTAAGTCACTGATTCAATAAGCCATTCATGAAGACAGTCGCTAAATTTGAAACTGCATAGTAGTATACATCAATTTTTAGCATATGTTTTTATGGCAGAAACAGTATGATAGTCAGGGGCGCCGCTATGGTTTGTGGGCCCCCTGAAAAGCATATTTACTCGGGGCCCCCCTAAAAATCGCGTTACCGCTCGGTAGAAATCGCATTCCGCGTTCCCCGCGGTAAAAAAAACAAAACAATAAAAAAATTTATCGCAGTCGGGAGGGGGGCCCCCTCTAGCACCTGGCCCTTGGAATCCTCCTAACCATTTATTTATTCATTCATTCAAATCTTGTTTTTGGTTTTGGGTTATTTTTATTTATTTACTTGTTTGTCAGTCTGTCCTGGCTTCACAAAGTGTATTCCTTCTTGGTGTTATGGAATTGGCCACCCTAGTATACAGATAACGATAAAGATAAATATTAACTGACAACGGCATGATTGCCCCTGTTTCTTGGAATCGAGCCATGGCTGCAGAAATCCCCTTTTGACTGCCAGGTTAGGTTACGTGGGAGTGCCATTTTCAAGAAGTCATGCATACCTAGCTATCGGGTATTGCAGGATTTTATAGATCTTTAAGATAAGCAGGATATTCCGATCAGACTTTGCACCCATAACACCGACTGAACCCGAGGTCTGATATTGAAGGAATTCGGAATGGCTAAAGGCATTTCTGGGATAAACAGTAGCATTGGTTTGCTAAATGGACCTTGCAAGTTTACCGTCATGCTCAGTGGGTCGTTTCATTAATAAAAGTGTTTGTAGTCTCTCAACTCTCCTTGTTTTGAATCTGTTCTTTATGTTTGTGCAGTGAGCCTGCTATGATATGAGATCTATTGTAGTTCAGGGACAAAGGACACTCTGGAAAGTCCGTAAGATTCGTTTGTTTATGTTCCAGTCACAGATGGTCATGGGTGATTTCTTAACATGACTGACAGGTATTTCCTACTTTGATGTAGGGCACAAAGGGTGTCCACCTGCTAGGCTAATTGTGTTTTGCAGGGGTGGAAAATTTGAAAGTTTTGTTTTGATTCTATTTTCTACACTGCTATCACATGTAACAAACTAAACTAAACTGGTGTGGAAAGCACTGATGATTTTTTAAATAACCTGGTTTGGTTTTGGTTGTGTTTCTGCAATGTGATCAGTGATCAAAGACAGAAACATAATAGAAACATGAAAATGTCTTTACATACAGTATATATGTCACAACTTTTAAATATGGGAAATTCATTCATTGTGTCCCTACTTGATATGAATTTCTTTTTTCTTCGCTATTCAAAATGTCTAAACCAAAGCATGTTTTCTTGGGAATATTGCTTTATTTTTTTATCAGTTAATAACTTTTTTCCTATGAGCCTGATTACCTCCAGACCTCTGTGTCCATTACTACTACTAAAAATGTTTAATAACAAAAGCAAGTTCCTGAAGTCTCCAAAAGGTGACTCCATTTTTGGCGAGAAAACAATAGCACAAACTTCTGTGGCTATTAGTAATGGATTTGATTAATTTTGAAACGTTTTGTGGCATTAAATGACAGGGTAAAATTATTAAAATTAAAACCAATCAAAAAAACACTGCATTACTTGAAATAAAATAAACTTTAACTGAAATTATATAAAATATAGAAAACATGTTTTTACTGCTAATTGCCAAAGCAACATTTCTCATTTCATTTAATTATGCACTTGATGTACTAAAATAATAATGTATACGGTGCGCATAAGCATGTTTTTTTTTTTTTTAAAGGTTTGTCTTCAGTGCAGGTTATAATAAAGTGACATTGCCATTTCCTTATTCCAGTGATGTTTGATAAATGGGTCATCTCAGGAAACCATGCTATTTATGCTGGAATATTTTTATTTTTGTATTTTCATTTCTAAAGGTTGCAGCAGAACTTTGCCTTTTCTTCAAGTACCGATAAAGACTGTAAAATATATACACGTCCGTCTCAAATGTTGTTTAAAAAAGCCACTCCCTTAAATATGTGAGAAAGATCTAACTATTATTTAGATGAACAGAAATCCCAGACAGATGAATTCTGCTTGTCAGTTATTCCTGAGCTTAACAGCCACTTATGCAAAAAGTACTACCTATGGAAATGATAGAGCACTTTTTTTAATGAATTTACCCTGGCACTTACTGACCGCAGAATCAATCAGATTTCATAGGGTGTTTTTATATAAAACACTGCCCTCTGCAGGTCAACAGCTGCTCCTGCAAACAAAATCAAACTAGAACACACAAACAACCACTTCAAATTGTACAAAATATTTAATTGATTTTCTCCCTTTTATCAATGAATTAAAACAATTAAAATGATTTCTTTCACAGCTAATTCAATCGTCAACCACACATTAAGATTAAAAGTATTAAAAGCCACTGTATGGCTTGACAGTATTTTGCTTTAAAAAATTAAATAAAAAAATCAGCCCCTCACACACACACATAAATGCACCATGCAGAGCAGAATACTTCTATTGCATTATGTCTAAATTAACCTGAGCACATGATGTAATTATCTTCCCCATGCATTTCTCTCACAAAAATGAGATCATATAAGTAATTTAATCCATTAGTGAACTAAATATATGACAGCTAAATAAATAACAGTCAACGCAAATTGAATAAACACAAATTTCATTCACTAACATCAAACAAGGCAAGCGTTAAAGCTAGTGACCTGTTATCTAGGTGAGGAATTTAAAATAATAGTAAAAAATATCTTTCAAGCGGTGCAGAATATAACATGTTCTTGGTTCAACCCTGATGCTTGAGTGGTTATTGCTAAGGAATAGACAGGACAACACATTAACATGAATGAGCTGTTATCAAACAAAGTTCAAGCTTAAAAAAAAAATAGAAAAAGTTTCAGTCCACTGCTGAAAATAATGAGGCCCTCAAGCGTGCACTTGTGGCTTTTAAAAGAACAGTTCACCAAAAACCAAAAAACTCTGTCATCATTTACACACCAAACCTATATGACTTACTTCAGTAAAACACAAAGGAATGGAAAAGGTTTGGAAAAGAGCAGCTTGGACATTCTGCTACAGCACACCTGTAGCAGCAGGATGTCCACGCTGCTCTTATCCATACAATGAATGTGAATGGTGACCACAATTGTGCCTGGTCCCAAACCACTATTATTGTATGGAGCAGCTTGGTCATCTAGATCAATGCTTTGAGGTTTGGAACCACATGAGGGTGGAAATTATGACAATTTACATTAAATATGAACTGCCTCTTTAAATGTTCAAACAGCAGGGGTTTTCGTTTTCATACCATTGCAACACTGTGGATTTCATGTAGCCCTTCAATATAATAACTTCTAATCGTCTCTTTAATGACCTTGTGGAACATGGCAATAAAAAGGCATGCACAAAGATCATCTTCTCTCTCTCTTTTTCAATACAAAGGCAGCAGAGCAACAAAGGCCGACAGTTCAATAGCTTGTCGAAAGCATAATGACTGTTGCAGTCTTCTAAAATAGCTTTTATAAAATATCAACTTCGGTTTATCGACTTCTCTCACGTATTTGAAAATGAGGAGATGCTGTAGATCTCTTTGGTCCAAAACAGACAAAGTCAGATGCAAAACAAATCTGGTTTCCATTCGTATGGTTGGCAGTGGAGTTGAGGAGGATGACCAGCACATCTCTGAAGAGTTCTGGATTGGGTTTGTAGGAGGAAAAGGGGGTGTGGTCAGGGTAGCCAGTGCTACCTGGAGTTCTGAGGGAGGAGTTTCTTAAATAACCCACCCACTGATATATCCACCCTCATAACCATGGCGACCCCCAGTATCACAAACACACTGCCCACGATGAAGCCTGATGCCTCAAACATCAGTCTGCCAAAAAGAAAAACACATCTTAGAATGCAGTTATGAGAAGAACTTAAAAAAAAAAAAAAAAACTTACACTTACAATTCCAGAGATTGCGGCTTGTTTCCATTGTGTTGTGCTAATTTTGCTGTTGCGCTAATTTAATTGTGCTGCGGCTTGTTTCCATTGTGTTGTGCTAAGTTCGTTGTGTTGTGCCAAGTTCGTTGTGCTGCAACTTGTTTCCAATGTGTTGTGCTAATTTCATTGTGTTGCGCTAATTTCGATGTGTTGAGCTAATTTCGTTGTGTTGTGCTAAATTCATTGGGTTGTGGCTTGTTTCCGTTGTGTTGTGGAGATTTTGTTGTGTTGTGAACTACTGGGCCAACGTAATTACTGTAATTACAAGATGGTTTCTTTTCCTTTTCTTCAAAAAAGGTTTCTCTGGCAACACATAATGCCACAATGGATCCCTGTGTGGGTTTGTTAGTAATGACGGCAAAATGTTTCACACAATTAATTTACCGCTTGTGAAAGTCGGAGTTGTCAAACTCTTAGTCATAATTCAGGGTTAACCATCTACTTATAAATTGTGACAGTTAGTGGGCTAAACTCCCTCAACGTGAAAAGCAAGTGGTGTGTGGGTGAATTTTAGTAATGTTATAAATGGCCTTGCACAAAACAACATTGTCAAACAACACCAACCACCATTGTTCAACCCACCAACTAGTCCATTTCGAAAATGTGCACATCTCTAGATCATTTAATCAATACCTTAAAATAAAAAAGACAGATAGTGATGAGGTAGAAGAGAAAGAAACTATAAGTTAGAGATTTGTGACTCACTTGGGTGCAAACACTTTCCACACCATGAGGTGTCTCCTGAGGATGGCTGCAGCACAAACCGAAGCAAAAACCTGAAGGTAAACAAGTTATTTATAATTTATGATCCATTTTACTAAAGCATACAAATCACATTAGATGAGAACACATTGGCCTCTACACACCAAGCCTTACATGGCTAAACAACACAAAAATACATATTTTTCTTATAGGAACCATTTACACAGTCTGGTGAATGCTAAAAAAATAACTGTGCGATTACTGTAGAACACCATTTTACTATAAAGGAGGTCAAAGAAACTTCAGTTAAAAATGTTGTGCACGTTTTTGTGCCTGACTTAATGCAAACATTATGCAACGCACCTGCGCTCCATTCACAAAGAGGTAGCGTGCAGCGAGCTCCAGGAGACCCGAGCTGAACTTCTGAGGGTTTTCTCTCAGTCTCATCTCCATGACAGCGTCCTCGCTCTCCTCCACTCCTGCTGAGCATGTAGGTCGGGTCCCACGCACCTCGCACACCAGAGGCCAAAACAGCAGCAGAGGACAACCAACTGCATGTGCAAAGTAGACCGTGATCAATAGAAATGGAGAGAAACAATGGACAGAAAGCTTCAAAAAAAGATAATGCTGATAAAGAAAAATATCCAATGTGAATCATGTTGAGAGTATCCTGCGTTTAGTGTTAAGTTACCTGCAAAGATAATGTGAGAGGAGAAGGTGTTGAGGGTCACCAATGACGCAGGAAGTGCAGTGCCTGTGTGACCTTGAGGAAAGCCCACAAATGCAGCACCCCACTGAATGGAGGGGAAGGTAGGCAGGTGTCCTGTTGCATGGAAAAACTGGGCGGCTGCCAGAGACCACGAAACCACTGGAGCCCATGGCACACTGAAACCATCTGGGAGGATTAAAGTAGGAAGATGCATCAGTTGTAATAGCTCAGCAAGGCATAAGATGTGAAGATAACAATGGAGTGCGTCTTACTGGAGTGCTTGTGCAGGCTAGAGAGGTTGGCGCTACAGGCGTGGATGTGCAGCATGGCTCCGGCCTCCAGCAGAAGAAGCAGGAAGGCAAGAGCCATTCCCTCCGGATGGAGCAGCAGAAGCACCAACCCCAGGAGTCCACAAAGCAGGACCAATGGGGCAGAGTACACTGTACCCAGCCCGTAAGCCTCCACAGCTGGCCTGCTGTCAGTTTCGCCACTTTCCGTGGCCCCGTCTTCCAGCGAGTGTCGGATGCGCTGATACAACTGTGGTATGAGGTGGTGCAGTTCAGCCTGTGGACTGATTCCCGTACTGGCTCGGTACTTGGGGGGTGGCAGGGACGTTCCTCGAGAGTTCAATGGAGTCCTTAACTTGAGGAACACTGTCATGGGGTCCACCCACAACAGGAGTAGTCCAAAACCTAGTAAGCAGAAAGTGGCCCTAGGCAGGAACACTTGAGCTAGGCCGATGAGTTCGGACAAATTCCTGAAGGTGTCCTCTGGGGTGGCGCTGACCGCCCAGTGCAATCCCATGCAAACACAGGCCAGGGGTATGAGGAAGCAGGCCGAAAACACAGTCACACTGATACAGTTGAGGTTCCCGTAATGTCTGAGCCATCGGTATAGAAGGTACCCCGACAAGGCCAGTGAGCCAACGGAAATGACATAGTGGAGGTTGCGCAGTTGGTTGTTCTTTACTCGTGAAAGCGGGGAGAGGAAAGGTGAGGACTGGCAGGTGCCCTGCTCCTCTCGGCAGTTGTGGAAGGAGAGGGATAGGTAAAGCGATCCCACCAGCACTCCCAACCAAACCAACAGGATAGTGGCCTGACGTCTAACCACTGAGGATGGCAAAACAGTTGGGAGCAGCCGAGGTGGTTTCTGGGTGTCTGGTGGGGGAAGTGGCACCAGGAGTCCATCCCAGTTTAGACGGAGAGGAACATATACGCTCAACGTGAAGAGCAAGAAGGTAACCACGTTGCCCTCATAGATGACATAGCTGTCCGAGAGTAGGGAGGCACAGCGCAGGAAAAGCACCAGAAGGGCCAGCGTGAGGAGGCCAGAGGGTGACCACCTCTCTTTTGGAGAAACTCCTCGAGTCCTCAATAGAAACAAAACCTCAGAAGAAAGTGCTGCAGCTCCCACACACCACGAGAGCTCCAAATATCCTTGCAAGAACAGCTGACCTGCAGCTACTACTAGACCCACCACCAACCCTGAGAGTATGGGCAACTTCAGCAGGCCTTGCTGAATCACTACATGAGACAACTCAGAAAGGACATAGCAGAGCATACAGGCAACTCCTAAGATTAACAGCCCAGCAGCCATTTTGAAAGGGTTGAAACGGGCCCAGGAGGCTCTACAAGTCTCCCTGACAGCTGTCAAATAGTTCTGCATGGAGACGACTAGCTCAGGAGAGGGAAGATGGCCCTTGTGGACAGCGGCCAAGTACTGGGAGGAAATGTTTGAGAAGTCAGCCCGCAGCTGAGACAGACTGTCTGGTGGGATGTCTTTGGCCATGTTAGAGTAGGTCTCCAAGAAGCGGCTTACCTTTAAGGAAGGGTGGAAATGGAAGAATCAGATAGAATTTAGCTAAGTCGAAGAATGAAGAAAACATGAAATAAACATGAAATTCAAGCAAATAGACCTTGAAACACAGACTAAGAGATATCCTCTTACCTGTTTGACGTTAATCCACAGTGCCTCAGCTTGGCTGAGTCCTGTAGGTACACCCCGGGAGCCATTCTGAGGAAAAAGTGGCAGAAGAACCTGGCCCACACTACTATAAGGAATGGGAACTCCCAGCAAAAGTGCCAGCGTGGGCACCAGATCAGTCTGAGGTACTACCTCAGGTTCCACCTACAAACACAAACATGCTGAACTCCAAATGTATGGAAAAAGCCAAAAGATAACCCAAAGACATTTAAATTCCTCTCTCATAGTGGCACTTTTTTATTTTACATTTTTCTCACATTTTAGGAAATGGAAAATGGGGAAAAGGCTAATAAACAATTTGGTTTTTAAGTATCCAACACAAGTAAATAGTACTATGCTATTATCATGCAATTACAGACCAATAGTGTTGACTACAGCCTTACTACAGTATATTTTGTGACACCCCAAATTTTTCTCCATCTGGCTATTTAAAGGGGTCCTATTATGCTTTTTCACTTTTTTAATTTTAGTCAGTGTGTAGGGTGTATGTTTGGGCATAAAAAAGATCTAGAAAGTTACAAATCTCAAAGTCCACTCCAAAGGGAGATATTTAGTTTAAAAAAAAATCAATTTTCAAGACCTACAGCAAACAGCTCGTTTGGACTACAGCGTTTGGTTTCCGGGCTTTACGATGATTTTGTATGTTTCTCTTATTGCTTCATACGTTTGCTATATTTGACTGTAAGTGCCCTGCGAAGTGGACATTACCGGATATTCCGCCATGATTCCAGTTTGAAGGGAGCGTATATGTTCCATACAAAGGGCATTTAAGTGTGCGAGACATGAATTTAAATTGTATTTATTTACAGAGGTATATTATGTCCCACTTCACACTTCTCTAGTAAGTTTCGTCTGTGTGTGAAGACGCTGCAGGCAGCGGCGCAGCGCAAATCTGTAAATGAATATTCCGAAGTGAAGTAAACTTCAACGGATTTCCCCTGCTCAGGGAGTAGGGAGCAATGGACACCGTGTAGGGACCATGTCAATCGGAACACAGTTCATGCATGGAGCTCACTTCTAACAAGATGACGATCTGAATCAGGTGTGTTAACAAAGAGAGACATGCAAAACATGCAAAGTGGGGGTACGCGAGGACTGGAATTGAGAACCGCTGGTCTAGAACAATTCTTACAATTACAACACGACATAGCTGGGTGCCGCGGAGAGACGCCGAACGGCGCCGCCGGTGTGCTACACTCATAGAAAATAATGTATTTGAATTTTAAAGCCGTGGCACAACGCTGCGCTTCTCGTCCGGTGTGCGACCGCCTGAAACGCTGTTTTTTTTTCACTTCCGAAAGCGGATGATGATAGGAAACAATGGTTGCAATTTACTTTTTAACTCTGTTCCTGAGCATTATAACCCCAATTTGCTATTGTGTGCTGCGCATTTTACTGAGGACAGCTTCCACATCACGAGTGAGAAGTGCCGGATTCGCCAAAAGGTTTTGTTGAAAGACGGAGCAAGGGGGCGTGGCAGTACTGAAACACCGTCTAAGCTGTTCGCCAATCACAACGCACTGGGAAAGCTAACCAATCACAACACATTTTGTCTTTCGGAAGGCGGACCTTCATCAAAGAAAAATAATGCGTTTTTCGAACCACCAAGCATGAGAGCATGTTCTAGTACACCCCCGAAACAAAATCAAGACTTTGTAAAAGAGCATAATAGGACCCCTTTAAATTTTTCCTGGACACGCCACTGATAGTAAAATATTAAATACAGACAAATCATAACAGTGTCTCTCTTACCTGGGAGCCTGGTGCTGGAAATAAGGGAGAGGAACTGTAGAGAAACAGGGCAGCATCTGTCTCTTTCTGGCTCTCTCCACCATGATCCCCAGTGTCTGTCATTCCATGATCACCCATCACCACCAGCAAGGTGTCGTTTTTCAGACGCTTTATCACTGACCTGGGATCAGCGGTGAGTAACATATGGAAAACAAATGCATAATGCATGAAAATATAATACAACTGTAAAAACATGGCAGATTGTGGGTAGATGAATGAGGCTGCTGCTAACCTGATAACTCCATCCATCTGAGAGAGTTTCTCAGCCATCGCAGGATGATCCGGGCCAAATCTGTGCCCACAGTGATCCACACCCAGGAAGTGAGCAATCAACACATCCCAGTCATCCCCCTCCACTGAAGCAAGCAAACAAAAACCCTTAGCCACTCATTCAAACACTGTGTTTACAGTGTAAACATGAGATATCTGTACATCTATTTACAAGGTAAACAGAGGGAGATCTTAAACCAGCCAGGCAAGTTCCTAATTGATGTGCTAAACATTCTGCTTACTGGTAGGATAAATGTTTTGGAGAATGCCGTTGTCAACGGTGTGCAAGTCCTTCACGTTGAAGGAGGGGAAGGGCAGCGATCTGTGGAACTTCTTGGGGAAAAGACTCACCCATGTGTCATCCCCCATAAAAACAACTCTCTTGCCTTTTAAAAAGGAGAAAAAAAACAATGATTAACAAAGACTCTAGCAAAAAAAGTTACACTTTATGATCATTTCAATCTAAACATGGTTCATTTAGTTTGATAAAATGGTGACTTTCTAAATGTCTACAAATGTCATTAATTGCAATAATGCATTCTGGCAAACAACATGATTATGGTAATACACTGCTATAAATATTTTTTTGTTTGTTTGTTTTGTTTTAGCAAATCTCACACAAAGATGTCAAAAACAGGTCCATTTCAGCCTAAAAATACAAAAGAAATACAAAATACACTACTGTTCAAAAACATTAGGTTTAGTAAAAAAAAGATTTGAAAGTCTCATGCTCAACAAGGCTGCAGTTTCGATTAAAAATACAATAAAAGTAGTAATATTCTGAATTATTATTACAATTTAAAATAAAAGTTTTATGTTTTAATATATTTTAAAATGTTATTTATTCCTGTGATCAAAGCTGTATTTTCAGCATCATTGCTCCAGTCTTCAGTGTCACATGATCCTTCAGAAATCATTCTAATATACTGATTTGCTGCTCAAGAAACATTTTTTGTGGAATCCATTATACATATTTTTCAGGATTCTTTAATGAATAGAAAATTTGAAAGCACAGCATTTAATGTATATTATTTACTGTTATTTTGATCATTTTAATGTGTCCTTGCAGAATACACATTAATTTATTATTTTTTTTAAATTAAAAATAAGATAATTAAGCACATTCTCAATACCATAATTTATCTGGAAGTTGAAGTTTTGTGGAGAATCAACACAAGTAATTAAGGGTACAATTCACATCAACAAAAAATATAAAAACAATATGGTTTCTCTATATAGGGTTACTCGTTTATACATATCATCAGTGTAACATCTGCTAGTTTAATTATTAAACAACAGTTTGATATTACAAGGGAAAGGAAGTTTCTGTCAACTGTGTTAGAGACAAACTGTATGCCATACAGTGATTGTTTTAAAATAATTTTAAGAATCTTTTTTTTTTGCAAATATATGTGCACAGTCAAAATAACTCGGAAAACATATACGAGAAGCAAGAATTTTGTTATCATATTAGAATTATATTAAGAATAAATACAGTACTATTCAAAATACTGCATTAGATTAATACAATATAATTATATTATATCATGCAAGGATATATTATCTGAAAATTGGCTCTACAGGGTATCTTTGGCCAACCACATATTATTTTTTGTTCAGGTTAAGCTCAAATTTTAATATATATTTGAATTAAAATCTTTAAAATATTGCAAATCATAACACTGGACCTAATATAGTTCCATGTCAATTAATATAGTCCTTAATGGATTATTGTAGATTAAATATTGAACAAAATGAGAGGACGCTTTCAATAAATTAAAAAAATAAAATGTGTAAAAAATCAAATCAAATGATGTTGCTTGCATAATGTCTTGATAAAACGTTCAGTCTGTAACATAGATGACAGTACATTTGCTGACACAAGAAAAATAAATATATTCAAGAAAATTACATTTCAACTCAATTTAAATAAGACTTTCTGAACTTAATTTAAAAATACATTAAAAAATAAATATTTAAAATAAATAGATAATGTTGACTAACATTGTACTCATTATGAACTCAAGACTCACTTCAGAAATGGACATTGAAAAAAATGTATTTAAGCAACATTAAAGCAAATTCAAGCCAACTAAAACACTGAGTACACAAAATATTTGTGCAAGATTATAAAACGCTTAAATTTATCAGTAGACATACAGCCACTGCATTAAGTTCCCTTCCTAGACACTATAAATGTAACGTATAGGTTCTGAGACACAGTAACAACAAGCAATGTTACATAGCAAGTCAAAACTGAAACTACACCAACCTTTAAGAGAGTAATGTGAAATTGACTGTATATATGAGCCAGGCCTAACTAGTACATACTACGGAACGCAGTCCATAACTGCAGGCGAGCGTGCTATTAAAAAATAAATATTTAAAATAAATAGATAATGTTGACTAACATTGTACTCATTATGAACTCAAGACTCACTTCAGAAATGGACATTGAAAAAAATGTAAGCAACATTAAAGCAAATTCAAGCCAACTAAAACACTGAGTACACAAAATATTTGTGCAAGATTATAAAACGCTTAAATTTATCAGTAGACATACAGCCACTGCATTAAGTTCCCTTCCTAGACACTATAAATGTAACATATAGGTTCTGAGACACAGTAACAACAAGCAATGTTACATAGCAAGTCAAAACTGAAACTACAGCAACCTTTAAGAGAGTAATGTGAAATTGACTGTATATATGAGCCAGGCCTAACTAGTACATACTACGGAACGCAGTCCATAACTGCAGGCGAGCGTGCTGCACGCTTCCAGTACTGACCTTGCTTCTCTGCGTTCGTCCTCTCTCTCTTCAGGATTGCAAACGTAGACCGCGCATCCGCTGCAGGGGGCCTAAAGCGCCGCAGGTTCACCGACATCTGGCCGCGGTGCTATCAGAGCTCACTGCTGCTCTACACTCGCTGACATGCAGCCTAATTGCATGTCGGTTTTGTTTTAATACTGGTCATCTCGCAGCCCGGTCTCCACTTCCGTTGACATGCGCAGTGCGTCTGACGGTTACAGGTAAAGACGACTATCAAAATAAAAGACACCGGTTACTGATGTTCAAAATAAAAGCCTCTCGGGTCGCGCTACAACAATGTAGTTTCTCTTGTACTGGCTCGAATTTATGTCGATTGTAGTAAAATTAATTGCGGTAGGATTTTATTACCGTATTAACTTATTACAACACTGCATAAACAATTGGTAACATATTTAGTTTTTTTAATCAACTAAACTTAATTTTTCCAAAATAAATTAGAGGTTATGTTAAATTCTGAAAAATGTTTTTGTGTTCCAGAATTTTTTTTTTTTTTTTTTTTTTTC